ACAGCAGTAATATTTGGCAATAGCGAACCAGCTTCAGTTGGCAAATAAATACATTGACACAACCGCCACCATAGTCACAAAACCGACCACTTAAACCGCCGCACTGCAGTGTGCCGCGAAACTTACCTAAATTGTAGTAAAGTAAAATATTAATAGCCGCCACCGACCAAACCCAGCGCGGCACTGTGTGTACGGCGTTGTTCGCTCCCTGGAAATCCCAGTCGTAATATGCAATTAAAATGAAATTGACCACGGTCAACAGGAAGCCGGTGAATGTGATGAGATTCGGAGCTAGCCATTTGGGTAGAAACTGCAATAAAACATTTTGCCATACATATGTATGTATGTATTTGACAATTTACATACTATAGCATGTGCATAGATTTACTCAAAAATTTTCAGTATCTGCATATGCATGTATGCATGTATGTATATACGTGTGTGTGTTTTAGTAGATATTTTGTTGCTGCGAAACTTGTACAAAATTTTACAATTATAACAGGCACGGCACTCTCCAATCCAACCGTATGTGTTTTACTTTGGGAATTGCGGTGAAAAGGTTAGGTTACAGTTTTAACGGATTCCACGAACAAGTGGAAAAAGCACACAACTTAAAAGCGTGGACTGTATAAATACATAGCACGGAATCCTTCACATACAAACGCACACATACATACATATCTAGACATTGGTGCTTATTAAGTTATTTATATACATATATGCATGTAAACACTTAAATACAAAGGTAGCTGCTGTCAAAGTCTCTTTGCACTAAAGCACAGCATTTTTCGACTTACCTGCACACACCAGTTCCAAAAAGGATGCATTATATAGACGCTGATGTAGCCAGTGTCGATGCAGTTGTACTGGAAGCAATAAAAGAAAAAAAGAAAAAAGTATAAAAACATATGAAATACATAGTGGTATGCGGCAGAGGAAGTAGGAAGTCAGCATGTGAGTATGTGCATATGTTTGGTAAAAAGCTGAAAATAATTATAAATTGAAATGGTGGGAGCCCACGTACAGTAAGTGGGAGTAGCAGCTGAAACCACATGATTCAATTAATTTTTTAACAAATTCGAGTACTACTGGGTCGTACATTATTGACTAGTTGTAGTAATTGAATTTTTTCCTATGCCATATCGTGCATACACACATATGTACATATGTATGTAGGTACGTACCCAGTACGGCATAGCTCAACCAATTAACTCAGCAAAAGTAATTTATTTCGGCTTATGTAGCAACTAACTTCAAATTGATGTATCTATAATCACCTAGCAGCCTCCTTGAGATAAACCAAATGCTTACACTTTCGATACCTATGCAAATATATAATTCAATATTAGTTGAAAAATCATCTAACTTAGGCAATTAACTATTTCAGCATTTAATACTAAGTAATTTAAAATTGGTTGAAAAGTCATACAGCAAAAGAAACATACTGACTTTGAAGTGCTTTAAGCCAAATGCATTTTAAAGTAGTCGAAATCAAACGCAGAGTCGGACAATTGACTGCTTCCTAGGACATCGCCATGTTAAAGTAAATAGTTTGTTCCAAGGAAGAAAATCACATCTGCAATTATTTAGTTGTGGTGGGTAAAAAACTGGTTAATCCGCATCCATCGATAGATTATATAATAAAAAATAAAAATAAATAAAAAATGAAAAAACCCAACATTTCATTGAATAATAAAGTATTTTTCCATATGTATCAAATTGATGCACAACGTACTTTGTGTTACACAAAATTTCCGACGGATGCGGGTTAAACATCGTTAAATATCGATATTATTTCCGTACTGGGTAGGTACTAGTACTTTACAAAGACAACTGGGCTTCAATAGTGAAACAACAAGCAAAAAAATACGATACAAAATGCATATCCATTTATTGTGTGAAGGATATCTTTGAATACTTGCAGTGGCAAAGGGGATAAAGTCATACTATGTAGTGGTCATTTTTCGTACATTAATTTCAAAGAAATGCAGTAATCAAAAGTAGGGATGTCAGTGGACAAAAAACATCCATGTTTTTCCTCGAATCGATGCATCGGAGGGCGTACATCGCATATTTTTTATTTTTTATAAAAATATTGTTCATGCTTTAACCAGCACCATGTAAAACAATGTTTCAAACTTTATACAAAATTTAGAAAATTTCAACAAATTTTCATCACTATTTTGGACTTTTTAGTCTTTAGAACATTTTTGGGTATGCAGTTTTATAGCTCATAAAATTTTAGTGTAACAAAGTGCAAGTCAGCCATAGAAAAAATACTAAAAATTAAAGCAATTGAAACTTGGACTTTATAAGGTTAAAATTTTATGAGCTATAAAATTGCATCTTGCTTTCTTTGAATTTCAGACAAAGCGCTGTACTAGAGATGTCAGTTTACAGAAAACATCGATGCATCGACTATTTATACATCGAGTGGAAAACGTTCGATGCATCGAAGCAAAATATCGATATTTTCTATGTACAGATGTTTCTTTCACATCCCTAATCAAAAGGACCTGTACCTGTACATACAAAACTAATTCATTTGATGTCTGTGAGGCATATTCTTAGTCAAAATAAAGTCGACACTAAAGTTAGATACAGCTTTCTGACATAATTTTCAATGGAATATCTACCAAAAAGCTGCAAACAACTTTAGAGTCGCTTTATTTTCAATATGAAAATGCCCCCAAATTTTCTATTTCGCTTTCAGCAAAAAAAAAAAAAAAGATTTACTCAAAACAGTTACAGTACCCTGTTGAACTGATAGTTGCTGGCAACTTTTTTCACGACTATTGCGTAATAAGAAACGTAGCAGCCAAAAAAAAAAAATCAAGTGCTACAATTTTTTTGTGTAAGTCATGTGAGATTTTTTTTTTATAAAAGTGATAGTAAGTGAAAAAAAGGTTTGTTGTGTTTCTGGAGGTAATAGTATAACAAAAAATTATACAAAGATATATTACACTTTAATTATTTTGTAGAGAGCTTGGCATGCAAATTTGCTTGATGATGGATTTGTCCATCAACTGTTTTCTTAATTATTTTAGTACGTTTTTTTTTTTTTATTTGAATTTAGAATTTAGAGCATGAATGTATTTAATATAATAATATAGTAAAACCAACACCAAATGTGCGCACCTTTTATTAGGTAGTTGTAACTTGCCCCGTCCAGCGCATTTCTTGGATGGCGGTGACATAAAAAGTAGTGTTCCCGAGGGCACAAGTACAAATCGAGTATAGTCGAATAACTGTAAATGCATACGCAAAAGCCATACTAAAATCCAGTATACTGCTGCCGAAACTGGTTGAATCACCATAGTGAGAAACTTCGACCAATATCTCCACTGCAATATGCACCGAGAAAAGAGTTAAGTTACACTTATGGTCAGCTGATTAAGTCAGGTGAGATTTTGACTAGTTTTGACGATTTTTCTTTTGTTTATTTAATGTTTATATTTTTTTGTAAAAGTTTAGCACCTAACCTAACCAAAACCACATAAATCCAACACTTCAAACTCCGTACAAAAATTATGAAAATTCAACAAACATTTGCAACCAAAGATTTTAAACTTTTTATTTAGAATTTTTAGAAAAATTTTTGGTATGCAGTTTTGTAGTTCATAAAATTTAATTAGCTACAAAACTGCATACCCAAAATTCTGAACAAAAAGTTTAAAATTTGCGGGTGCAAATGTTTAAGTTTGTTGAGTTCATATAATTTTTGTACGAAGTTTGAAATATGGATTTATGTTAGCCCGACATACACAAAGTGCTAGACTTTTAAAAAAAATATAAACATTAAATAAACAAAATACAATTTGCCAAAACTAGTCAAAATGGCACTTGACTTAATCAGCTGACCACAAGTGTACTTCAAAAAAAAATATATTTCTCTCAACAGACGATTGGGTTATATTTAAAAACTATACTTGGTTGTAGTTACCCCACCATGTGTTGAGAGAAATTAATTTAACTGACTTTTCTTTAAATTTTTTTTAAAACTATTTGGAATAAAATTTAACAAATTGCACCAAAGAGCGACATTATCAGGCATAGTTAATTGCAAAAATAAGCTCAACGATTGTGTTTGCGCTAAATTAGCTCCTCCATGAAAAAGCGATTCGTGTAGCAATCACTTAATCAAAACTGTTAAATTGATAGAAAAAATTTAAATCGATGCAAATCCCACTCAATGCATAAAACTACTTGTGCATCATCACTGGCAATAAAAAGTTGCAGCCATTTTGTTTGCGTCGGTTTTCAAATAAACTCTTAAAAAATATACATACATATATTTACATTAGACCACGTCAAAAAAAAAAATCATTCAATGCGACCGTAATGATCCTCTCTAAGACAATTCTAAGGGCAATATAATTTTCTAGGATCAATGAAAACGCTCGAAACAGTAAGAATACATTGATTATACTTATGCCATTTAAGTATTATGCATACTCAAAATTTATACGAACAACAATCCCTTGAAAAGAAGTAACATTATTATGGAATTTTATAAAATGGGCGTGATACCGCCCACATATAACTTATATGTAGTTTATCGAAGAAAAGTGAAAAAAAACTTATATTTAATACTTGCGCCGGGTATCTAATGTTCGGCTTCGACAGAATTTAGACTTTTTTACTTGTTTTTTTTTTTGTGACGTGGTCTTATGTACATACATACATACATATGTGGTACATATTCATAGAACAAAAAACATAAACGTGGTTTTTCCTAAATATTGTCGGCTGTGAAAAAAATATGTACATACCTATGTATTGAAGTATGTGCATATCGATGCTCCTCTGCAATAACGGCACAACTCAAAATTTTATGTTTTTAAGTTCAAAGCGGATTAGGTTTATAAATGACCATATTTTTCTGTGGAAAATCGACATATGCTTAGTTGTTACCAATCCGACAGGGGCGCAGTATTGCCAGTTGTCTCAACATGGAAGTAGACAGCCCTTACTACTCAACAGTGGCCCCTGTCTCTCATTTATGGTAAATATATGTAGGCATAAGTCAAAAAATCTCGATGGGTTAGTGATTCTTTTATAGGAAATAACGAAACTTTTCGTTTTGTGCCGTTATTCGGCAACACCAGTGGATTTTTTTGTTCAACTTCTTAGGAGCTGTTACTTATTTCGTATTTTTGCAGTCCAACCCTTACTAAATCATTTTAAAGTTTACAAATTTTCCCTGCAGAATGACTGGCCGGAATAAGTGCGTTCCAAGACATATTACTGCTGAATTGCGAAACACAAAATCTTCAATTGGCTCTACTGAAAAATACAAAATTTTGAGTTGTGCCGTTATTGCAGAGCCCATCGATATGTAGAAATGAAAGCTTTCGTAGGTATTTATCAGCACGTCAATGTTAACAAATTCCTTGTTGAGGGGAGTTGCTGGCCATTTGGCTGGCATTATCGAACGCCCATTTCACATCAATTGATTATTTTACAATTTAATACAATTATTCGCTAGCACTTCAAACAGACAGTCACGCAAGCAAAAAGAAAACCTAAATGTGCGCACATTCCTACAAACGATAACGCGGTTTCTTAACCTATTAAAAAAATTATTGGTTTGTAGAAACTGTATCCAATGTCAAAGTATTTATGTGAAATCTTTTTTAAATACTTAGTAGCCACTCCTAGGCACGGGTGCATTACCGAGGCGAAAATTATTATTTTGAAAACTATACGCCATCCGGAAACATACGGCACATTTAAATAATATCAGAGGGCTGACACACAAAAAGGGCATACAATTATAAAATTATAAATAATAATGGAGTCGATGTTTCACGAATAAATGACTAAATATTCGAATCTCATTAAACTTTAACCAATCCATCTCTGC